TTAAACAAATAATTAAACAAGTAAAAGAAATGAAATTTTGTTTTCTAAGACTGGCAATATCTTGCAGTTATTGCAGCCGCCTTAACCAAAACGTTGTCTAGTAAACACCCTAAATCTGGAACAAATGATAGAATCTTTTGCGCAAAAAAAGCTTTTTCAATGTGCGGATTGACTGAAAACCTTTTAAGATCAAAGAAAAAAAAACAAAAGAAAGTTTTTGAGTACCTGTGGGGAGTCGATCATTTTCTCCTCGGATGAACCTCTTTGGAGGGTCCGGAAGCGATGACGGGATAAGGGAAAAAGGACAAAAAAAAGGATAAAAAGAGAACAAATGAATACCTTCCACCCACAGAAATCAACCTCCACTTATGGGGTCTCGAGCTGAAAAGCTTTTAAGTTTAAGGGAAAGATTAGTAAAACTATGGATAAAACGTCCGCCCACCTATTTCTCTGTTTGTAGTCGAAGTATTTTTAGGGAAGATGAGGGGGGGGATGATTTCTGGCAAAAAAATAGACCTTACTTGATTTGGTTTTGAAAGAGTAGAATCACTACTACTCACTAAAATCACCCCCAATTTACGAGAATGTTTAAAGGCTGAAATCTGAAAAGCTTTCGGATTTTAAGACAAAGATTTAGCTGATTACGAGTCAAAATAAAAATATTGACCTCTATAATTTTAGGTTTGTCTTTTCAAAACTAGACATGGGGTAGAGGAGCTTTTTTTGGAGTCTCGGTAGATTCAGACAGTAGTTGAACATCTCAACTCTCGGAAAATTGACTCGGAAAATTGTACTTGGAGAATTGAAAGTAAGAATGCCTAAGTTTCTAGATACGGGAAATTACTGTCAAAAGTGATCATCTCAGCTTTAATACAGGCATAGATTCTTAAGCTTTTATCTTCTTTTGGAGGAAGTTTTCCACATACTTTTTATGTTATTTTTTGGAAGCAGGTGAATAGAATAAAAAACACTTTATTTACATGTAGTGAAGATGATGAACTAAAGATCGTTTTTGGGGGAAATGTTAGTACACTTGGAAATCACCTGGTTGAATTATTCAAGGAACAAGAACTCGCTGAAGTTTAGTTGGAAATTTCAGCGAATATGAAATTTATAAAGGATTAAATGTAGCCAAGCCAAGCTAAGACTTGTAATTACTGTAAAAGTAAATGCAGATATGGAAATTCGGAAAGACAGGAGCTACGATATACAAAACAGTCAAAAGTTTATAAAAACAGTCAAAAGTACGGTTGAACCAAACGAGAAACAAAATCGCTCATTTCATAGTCAGACCTCGCTTATGTTACAGTACTCCAACATGACAGCTCTAGGTTAGTTGTAAGCTAATTATTAAGCTTACAACTAAGTACTTGGAAGTTTGTAAGCTTACGCTAAGCTAGACTTAAACAATGGGTGCTACTGCGTTTTAGTTTGACTCGTAATCAGCTAAATCTTTGTCTTGAAATCCGAAAGCGTAACTTAAGCCATCACTGTTAACAGCTTAAGTTAGTACTGCAAGCGGGCTCATAGACAGAGTTCAAAGACACTCCAACTAGACTTGACTATCGAGAGTTTATCGATATCGATATCGAGATCTCGATAAGTTTTCCAAAATCTTTAAAAATCGTAAAACCCGGTTCTGGGATATTGACAGTATTTTGTGCATCGAATTACCACGAAATAAGCCTAAGTTAAAAGGAATTGACGGAGAATCAACTAAAGTTTTACTATTATCGATAAGCTTATTGAGAAAGCTTATCGAGATCTCGACATCGATAATCTCGATAAGTCTCGATAGTCTCGATAAGAACCTATCGAGATCTCGATAGTCAAGTCTAGTTCCAACTAAAAGCCAGTGTATTTGGGTGAAGAACTGAAGCTGAATGACCAAGTCTACCAACCGAACTTCTTAAATAGACATTTTGTGTCCATAAATAAGTCCCAAACCGATCTTGATGTTCACCTGATATTTTGGAATCGAAATAACTCCCTTGGGAATCCCATCATTCGGCAGGGATAAACGAAAGAAAAGTTCACTCTCCGACTCGACGAATAAACCAAAATTGAATAAAAAGATATCGTTTTTGGCTTAAATTTTGAAAAACAGGAAACTTTAGTCTTCAAGTTTAGTTTTGGCATGAAACAAGAACATTTGCTTTCAGCTTCAATGCGTAGTTTGTTGAGGAAGCGTCAAAGTTGACACTCAAAAGGCAGGCAAAATAATTGGAAAGAAATAGGTAATAATAAATAGCTTTTTTTGCTAAATTTTCGAAAAAACGTCACTTAATCCCACTTTTTTTAATTTAAACGTTTCTCTTTTTCTCGAGGAAGAGCGTTTGATGAAAGTGCAACACTTGACTTGTTTTTTTGGTTGTCGGAGAAATTAGTTCAGTCATTTGAGAGTTTTGTTTATGATTTCGGGTGTACATTTGTTAGATAGACTCGAAAAATTTATATTTTTCTTCTTTGGGATGGCTTTTTTCTTGTATTAAAAACGGAACAAATTGAAATCTAGCAGTCCTGTTTTTCCAATCTAGTTTTTCCATTTTTGCATACATTTACACAATCAAGATTGGTTAATTTTTGAATATTCATATTTTTCATTCCAACTTTATCAAGTTTAACGCATTATCTTTTGATTCAAAGTTTGTACTATGGAAATTGTCATTCAAACTTGTTCATTCAAACTTGTTCATCCAATCCAATCCAATAAGGAATATTGTTAAATCAAGATCAAGTTTTTAAATGAGACATCGTCTCTATAGTCTTCTATAGACTTCTATAGACTTCTATAGTCTTCTATAGACTTCTATAGTCTTCTATAGACTTCTATAGTCTTCTATAGTCTTCTATAGACTTCTATAGTCTTCTATAGACTTCGATCTGAAAGAGTTTTCATTGGGTTTCTGAATCCGATTACCGGCAAAACTAGACAACTTAATGCTGGCTAACTTTTTGATTTGAAACGTGCTATCTTGAATTATCTACAGTCTTATGGACAGACGTGGATCGGATCAGTTCGGACGAAGACTTGTGGCACAGATCTATAAAATGGGACAGAACTGTTTAAACTTTCTATCAAACGGATCAATACCTCTATGTATCTTCGTATCTCAACTTTGCTATCTTTGAATCAAACCCTCTTGTTCGATATTTCGTTTCTCCATCTTTTTTTGTCTGTGTGCAATCGGAGGCTCAGTTGTCGCAAGTTGTTTTTGCCTCACTGATCGGAGAGTCTTTTTTTTTTTCCAACTCTAGTCCCTGGAATGAGCCAAGTAAACAGACCGAATCAGCTAGCTTTTCCACTCGTTTCTCTTCAACTAACAATTTCATTACCGACATCAATCAGATTTAATGTCTCAAATAGAAAAGTAGTGTTTTTGTAACGGAAAATGTTACTTTCACTTACTTTTAAAATTTACACTTTGTCGAAATTAGTTGGAACTTTTCATATTTCATACTTTTATAACAACTTTCATATTTTTATTTAATTATAAAACGTGTGGGGGTTCAGTTGGTTATTCCAGAATAAAGCTGACAACTTCGACTCATTCTTTGTGCTCCGACAAACGCACGCTTCTGGCCCACAAGCAAATTGCCATCTTGAAAGTGAGAAGTGGGCCAATTTTGTGTAAATTGCCACGAAACAATGGAAATTCTATCACAAAGGACCAGAAAATCCACAACTACAAATAATTCTTTTTTCGGGACAATAAAATACTCTTTGTTGCCATTGAAAATATCCATTTTTGTTGATAAACAGCACTCCGTTCCCCTTTTCATTGACCCACGCGCGGCTTCTCTCTTCATATGTGTGGATCAATGGTTTGTGCCAGCCAGCCACGCGGGCCCCCTCTCTGCACTTTTCTCCGTGCTATTTTCAACCCTTTCCCCATCCCAATCTTTCCCTTTTTTCTTTCCTTAGCACCTCTCTGAAACATTTTCCAATTTGTTGATAAGCTTGTCTCGTAAAGTAATTTCGAGGCTTTTTCGATTTTGCTGCATTTTTGAGCATTATTTTTGTTACAAAATCTATCGTTTGCGGATATTTTTAAAATTTCATCATGGAATTTTCCAAAAATAGGAATGTTGTTGTTGATATCTGTCAATTTTATAATTTAAAGAAGCTCAAGAACTGAAGAACTCAATCCTGGCGCAAAAAGCATCCTAAATTTGAGTTCACTTTATCATTTACATCAACTTTTCTCTAGAAATCTATTAAAATCAAGATTTTTTTACATTAACAAACCCTTTGCTAAAATTTTGGCCAAAGCAGATCCAATCAAGCAGTTTCCAAGTCTTAAGAAATCCAATTTCCGCTCGATTTCCCTACCCCCTACTCACAAAATCAAAAGCTGTCAATGCATCTTGATCATAGCTCAACATTTCCCCATTTCCCCCTTCTCACTTTGCAGTCTTCCACGAATAGCCGACTGCTTTTCGGGCGTTTTTTCTTCTTTTGTGAGATGGACTTTGTAAAGTGGACCTCCGACTGGCCATAGCCTTTCCTTCTTGCTTTTTTTCCCTCCATCCGATCAGTCCACCCTCGAAAATTCTCCCCCGGCAGTTGGCCCACCAAACAACAGAAAAATATCTGTCGATTTCAACAGAAATCTTTACTTTGCTTAAATTGCTTTAATCAATAGTCGCTTCCAAATTTGCTCCATTGGCTCCATTTGTTGTTAAAAATATTTAATTAAACTGAATAGTTCTTTAATTTTGTGGCTTTTTTCTGTTTGCTGTAAATTTTTACAAATCATTTCCAAATTTTTCATTTTGAATCGTGGCTTTTCCCCTTTTCGCACACTTTTTTTTGGTTTACCCCATTCAAACCATCGAAGAATTACTTTTTGACAGTGTAAACTGGAAATAAGAGTCAATTTTAGCCATGATATTTTCCATCACAGAATATCTTCGTTTAGGATCGAAATTTGTCCATTTATTCCGTTTTTTCGTTTCATTTGTTGTTAACACAATTCATAACTTTTTTCTTTAGGAGAATGGCATTCGCGAGCCTCGCAACGAACACGACAGAAGCTTTCGTCACACTCGCCACAAACGATGACTACTCGCTCGGTGCCCTCGTTCTTGGATACTCGCTTCGAGAGGCAACCACCAGCAAGAAACTTCACTGCATGATTACAGAACAGGTTGGAGCTTCTTGTAGATTCGTGTGCTAAAGAAACGTTTGGGAACTTGGGAAATTTTTGAGCTTTGCCGGACAGGTCCGTTATTACTGTTGCCTTAAACAACAAAACGCTAAAAAGTTGACTTTTTAAATAGTCCACTTTTGTAAGGCTTTTCTAATCATCTTAAGGCTTTGAATTGGTTATAAACATAGTAAATGGCTATCTTATAAACAATTTCTCGAGGAAATGGTGAAGATTTGATGATCTTTGAAACGATTAAACGAAAAGCCGTTTGTTACTCTTACAACTAGTTAGCATTGGTCAAATAGCAAGTTCCTGATCTAAATTCAATGCGAAGGAAAGTCAAGAACTTTTTAGCTGTTCAGTACTAAATCCTTATTTTTAGGTTACGACTCCTGTGCGCGAACAACTTCAACGGGTTTATGACGATGTCTCGATTGTCGACGTGTTGGCCAGCAACGACGAAGCAAATTTGGCATTGATTGGACGTCCGGACTTGGCTCTCGCCTTTACCAAGCTCAATTGCTGGCGACTTACGCAGTACTCGAAAGCCGTATTTTTGGATGCTGATACCTTGGTGAGTCTGCTTTCTTTTTTTTAGTGATTCTTTCATTTAGGTTTTGAGAAATGTTGACGAGCTTTTTGAGCGAGAGGAATTTTCGGCCGCACCCGACATTGGATGGCCCGACTTCTTCAACTCTGGTGTTTTCGTGTATCGGCCAAATGAGGAGACATACCGTAAGCTTTAGGCAGCTTGAAGAAATGCAGCTGAAAGTGTTACGGAAAATCGTTGGATGAAGCATCTTTATGATATGTTAACTAATTTAGTATTTGTATGGATCATGAACCGTCTAACTTGAGCTAAATGACTACAATCTTTGTTTCTTTTTATTGGTCATCGATAACTTTTGATATTGAGGAGCCCTTTTGCACAAGGCGACTACTGAAGGATCGTTTGATGGTGCGGATCAAGGACTTCTCAACTCGTTCTTCTCTGGATGGCGAGAGGCGTCTTCGGCGTTCCGACTCTCTTTCATCTACAATGTGACTGGCGGAATCTTCTACACATATGCTGCTGCTTACAAAAAGTAACTGTTTTATTCCTTTCTTATGGAATGCTTTCTTTTAGACTTCGGGATCAAGTCAAAATCGTCCATTTCATCGGCACGCAGAAGCCCTGGCGAGGAGGCGTCGGCATCCAAATGCCCGAATTCGCTCAAATTTGGCATCGGATCTACGAGCGTCATGTGGCAGGAACTGTCCCCGGATCATCTGGAACGGTACGTTTAAGAGTTTTGTGTGGTTTTTTGTTCAGAAGTTGAGGTGTGAGTCTGTAGTCGTGATAGTTGCATGAGAAATTTCATTTTGCATGTCAGTTCGAGTGTGTGTTGTTCCAGGGGTCGCAAGATGCCCATTCGATCGGCGCCTCTCCAACTCTGGTTGCCTTGCCCAAAGAGGTGCAAGTAAGTTGTGTGCTGCACAACCAAGCACCGCCAACTCTTCACGTTGATGCAAGCCCGTCCCGAATCGTCGTTTCACTTGAATCATCCCCAATTGTTGTGCATAAAGGCTCTTCTATCCCCATCTCTTCAGCAAATCCTCCCCATTTGCAGGCGTTGCCTTCAACTAACCCCGAACCGGCTCAATCCGACCAAACAGTGCCTGTTTGCCGAAAAGAGATCGAACAAGTGCGTGATTCTTTAATCGCTTGTAATTTGAACCCTAATGAGGATTAAAGTGTTAAGCATGGAGACTTTTATAACGATGTGAGCTTAACTTTCCCATAGCTTTGCGATATCACCTAATGACTAATAATTTTTATGCACAAATAACTATTTTGGTTTAGGAAACGATAGCAGAGAGCCGCAGTCGATGGGAGCAAGGACGACCCGATTTCACTGGCAAGGATGCTTTTGCCGAGATTCAAGAGGCCCTCATGAAAAATCTCCAGTAAATGGCTCGAATGCCCTCAACTTCTGTATTTTACTGTGCCATTGTTTGCTCATGTTGTTATTTCTAAATTAAGTGTTTAGTTTTTGAATCCTTTTTTGTTTTTGAGACCCTCTAGAGTGAATCAAATTTTCATTTTGCTTTGTCATTGGAGCTGTTTAGTTTTTGTTTGTACGGTAACTGGTTGAGCCTTTGCTCAATTTTCCGGTGCTTTAAAGTTTTATACCTTTTAAAATATAGTTTTAATAAATGTTATTACAAAATGACAATAAATGAATGTAGAGAATGAGCAAAAAGAAAGTTATTTGAAGTGTTAGAAACATGGCAAGCTGGAAAATTTGTTTAATGGCTTGGAGCAGAACTAAGTTACAAATCTTTTCAAATGAAATCATCGTTTGAAAAAGCAAGCAAGCATACAACTCGAGCAATTCCAAGGATCACTTATAAACCAGGTGGCTCCAGCTAAATGTATCATGCAAACAATTTCACTATTTTTCACAAGTCCTCTAAAATAAAAATCTGGTGAACGGTCTGATGTTGCCGGATTCCTCCGTTAGGCCTGTATCTTCAATCACCGCTTTTTTATTGGAATAATCTCACCAAACTTTTCAATAAAGAACTGCAATAAATAAAGAAGCATTGGCTACAGACGAATTTTCGGGAATAGATACAAGATTGTTTCTCAAAATACAAACTATACTTTCAAATCTCGATCCAAGCAGTACAAAGTTGTTCTCCGAAACAACGGGTTCAGTTTCAATGAAAAGAGCCGGTAATGGAAATTGAGTTGGGAAAACCTTCTCGAGAAAGGATTCGATGAATATTTTGTAGAAAAAGTGGCCAACGATTTCGAGATGAGCCGGAAACTATGTCGGGAATCAAAAAATCTCCTTTCCTCACGCACAATTGATGGAGTTCGATTTTCTCGTGATTCATTGTACCTCGCCATTGAATATTTTGACATTTTATAGAAAAATAGATGTACAGGGTTGGGCAAAATTATCCGGAAACCTTTTTGGAAAAGCTATCACACACTTAATTTTTACCAAAATTTCAAGTGTTTTATAGATAATTGTAGCCCTTAATCTTAGCTACATTTATCTACTAAAAACTTCTCAATCGGATGTTTACAACTCATTTATCAAGCCCTTGAATGAGCACTTGTCGATCCCTACCCGGTGCAATGCCATTTTTGACGATTTTCTACGTAAAAAAATTGTTCGAAAAAGCTTTTGCCAACATTTATTTTATGCAAAAATATCATTTAACACCATTAATAATATTAAAGATAACTTTCAACTGTTTTGGCTAACCTGTTATAACCAAAATCAAGCTGGTGACTAGCTTTTTTGAAGACGCAGGGCAAAAAGGTGAAATTTGATCATTTTTCGATATTTAGTTCACATGAGTTTCTCGTTATATTAGCTATAGGAATAGCGCTATAAAATTGTTGGAAATAATCTTTTAAACAAATTATACACAAAGTTCCCTAAATAAAGTTCTTTTTAGATCATTTTTAGGTAGAGAATCGTCAAAAATGCCAGCGCGCCGGTTAGGAATCGACTAGTGCTCATTGAAGTGCTCATAAAATTAGTTGTATATCTCGAATCGGGAAACTTTTAGCAGATAAATGTAGCTAAGATTAAGGACTACAATTTCCTATATAACACTTGATGCTTTGAAATAAATTAAGCGTGCGAGGACTACTTTTCAAAAAAGTTTTCCGGGTGGTTTTGCCTAAACCTGTACAAATCAAATATGCATTACATTGCTTTTATGTTTTTACTTGCTAAAATTACTGCCAAAATTACGTTTACTTGCTACATTGCTAAAATGCTTTTACGGAATATTAGCTATAGGAATAGCGCTATAAAATTGTTGGAAATAATCTTTTAAACAAAATTTTTATTTAGAAAAATCTAGTAAAAAACTAGTGAACGGTCTGAAGTGTGTTACTGGATTCAAAAATGGCAGCGCGCTGCCATTTTGCGCTGCAGCGCGCCAGATACTTTGAAATAACTGGATCAATACTTTGAAATAAATTAAGCGTGCGATAACCACTTTCCAAAAATGTTGTCCGGGTAATTTTGCCCAACCCTGTAATTTGAAGAATTTGGATAGTGCAAATCAATTACTCTTTGGCACACACAAAAAAAAAGTCAGTTCAGCAGTCAGCCCAGAATTTGTAGTGGCTCCTGGTGGCCCATTTGGTGGTGCCAAAGTGAATATTTTGGGTGGGCAAATTTCTCATATTTTTTCACTTCGTCCCGATTTCATGACTCCCGATTACATGAAAATTTCTAAGCCACCATGGCTGCTACCACCAAATGGCCCACCACCAAATGGCCCACCACCAAATGGCCCACCACCAAATGGCCCACCACCAAATGGCCCACCACCAAATGGCCCACCACCAAATGGCCCACCACCAAATGGCCCACCACCAAATGGCCCACCACCAAATGGCCCACCACCAAATGGCCCACCACCAAATGGCCCACCACCAAATGGCCCACCACCATGAGGCTTTTGCCATAAAATTAAAACTTTCTACTGGCGTCGTGGTGCATAATAAACACTATCAGGATAACTAAAAATTTAAACCATACATTTTATTGATCAGCGTTTCCTTGGAAAAACAGGGGACTTCTTTAAAAAAAGGAGAGTTGAAAATCTTTTATATACGACAGATTATCATTTAAAGTGGATTGATAAAGTGTTTATCCATCTACATTATATGATAATCTGTGATTAGTTAAAAAACTTTGTCTATGACAACTCTAATATGACACCACGATCCCAGTAAAAAGTTTTAATTTTTTGGTAAAAGTCTCATGGTTGTGGCTCCCAAATTGCCAGCTTTTCAGATTCAAGAGAATATTTAAGTTATTGAAATCATTTAAGTTATTGAAATTGAGAAAGAAGCGATTGGCTGACCACGGTAAAGTGACAAGCTGAAACACACGAGGTTTCAAGCTGCAGTTGGTTATCAAAAACTTAACAAGTTCACAAAAAGAGCAAAACGATTAGACTTGTTGATTTTCTAAAAAAAGATTAACGTTAAATTAAACCAGATTCAGGCTCTTCAATAACAAACAAACCATAAAGACGAGAAACCCATAGAAAGTCGTGAAACACTCGAATGCATTTCCACTTCTTCTTTCCCAATATCCCACAATATCCCGCGGGTGAGCATCACGGTGAGAATGTTTGCTAAAAACCTTAGTGACTAGTTGGATACGCCGGTGCTTTTATGGGTCGGCGCCGGAATTCGAACCCACGACCGCTCACTTACCAGGCGAACGCTCTACCAATGAGCTACACCGATCCCATTGCAATGGGCATAAGGCAATGCATTGCCTTATGCCTTACTGACTAGTCGCTAATGACAATGAATATATGAGAGAAGATTCTTGTCACTTTTTTTTGTTGACATTAAATTTAGAAATCTTTTCGCAAAGATTGAGAGTGGGGGAGATCTTTTTACGATAACGGCGTTTCACTCTTCTGTCCCCCGCTTCCCTTCTGTCCCCCAAGCATCTAAAAGATTTCTCTTTAATATTTGAACCCATCTTTCAATCAACTTTGTAAGGATTTGCAGTGCTAATTCCCATAGCTATCATCAAGGCCATTTCAGTGAGTAGGGGAGAGGAATGGGAAAGAGAATAGACAAGAATAGAAAAGGCTGTTGAACTTATGATGGCTATGAGAAAAATTCCGTAACTTTTCTCACTACCCGAGTCGGGTCAATAGCTGCGGGCACAAAAGGAGATATGTAGAGATCGGTGTGGCGATCGGATCAAGGCCATTTCAGTGAGTAGGGGAGGGGAATGGGAAAGAGAATAGACAAGAAAGGGTCACTCACACATCGATTCCCTTGCCTGTGTCTGTGTTGGATGTGTTTCCCCCGCCGCTGAACCTCTCGACTTTTTCAGTCTCCCCTTTCTCTATCCTTAAAAATGAGTGACACGTGGTTCTCCCGTAAATGGAACGTTTTTTGGGTTTTGTCCATTTTACTCAATTCTTCTCTTCTTGTAGTCTACTTTGGGTCTTTGGGACTGTGAAAGTTGACAGTTTTTGATTCTTTACAACCTTATCCTTTCTGTATCATTTCTCATTGTACAGAAATTTCCATGCTTTGTTAATGTATTCCATTCTTTAAGTGCTAAAGCCTTAAAATCTAGGCATCTTTGTCAATTTTTCAAACATTACAACAACGTTCAAACATTGTATAGTATGTTTCTCTAGTTGTAAGTAACTTTTGGCACATTAATCCTCAATGAGTTAAACGGCTGGATGTCTTTAAAAGGAAGCGTATATAAGGCAGCATATATAAGACGGCGTATATAAGGCAACGTATATAAAGCAGCGTATATAAGGCAACGTATATAAGGCAGCGTATATAAGGCAGCGTATATAAGGCAGCCTATATAAGGCAGCGTATATAATGCAGCCTATATAAGGCAGCGTGTATAAGGCAACGTATATAAGGCAACGTATATAAGGCAACGTATATAAGGCAGCGTATATAAGGCAGTGTATATAAGGCAGCCTATATAAGGCAGCGTATATAAGGCAGCGTATATAAGGCAGCGTATATAATGCAGCCTATATAAGGCAGCGTATATAAGGCAGCGTATATAAGTCGGCGTATATAAGGCGTATCACAAGGCTCAGCCAATAATACACAAAATTGGGCTAGTTCAAACTAAACTGGAGCATTGATTACGGTAGTTCTCTTTCATTGTTTTATGCATTATTTGAGATAAATGCACTCAATTCGTTTTATGCAATCATTTACTTTTTAAACCTTTTCGACTACCGTAGTCACCTGTAGACTTTCAAATCGCAGAGTCTCATTGTTCTCAGAAACACACTCTATCAAACATTTTTCAATTTTTCCTCCAGATCAATGATCTCAACCTTGTGGCTGACGCTCGATGCGGTCGGCTCGTTTCTGCTCGGTCTCGTCCTCTTCACCGTCCCACACATTGCCGGGAA